ATTTAAAATAAAACTTACTAAACCTGTGGCTGTAACTCTACGATCTCCCGAGAGGGAGGTTGTACTGTCACAGTGAAAGTGGGACTATATTGTGTGGTTATAGATAGCAGAAATGGGCAAATACAGACTTCCAACCTGAAACTTCCAAAGGAAGGTGAAAATTATTTTAAGTCCTTCACAACCCCCAACATCTGGTAGAAAATGGTTTGCTGTCAGTGACTGTAATTACCACCAGATATAGCCTAAGAGTTTTTTGCTAGTGTCATTTTCAGCTTTTGTGATTTACATGAAACAGTTTCAGAAATGAGAGATACTCTCAAGAATTTTAGTTTTTTGTGAATGTTGAAAACATACAGAAAAATTAAGGAACTGTCCACTTAGAACTAGTTACAAAATGCTTTAACTTTTAGTGCTGCCCGTCAGTATTTTCCATCTCCTACTGTTTTGTTAGAAATTAATTAACTTTGAGCTACAAAAAATGATATTGATTGATTGATTGATTGATTGATATCATCAGGGATCAAGCTCAGGAACTTGCTTTTGCAAGTCGAGCGAGGCACTAGTGAGCTAAATCCCTGGCCCACAAAAAATGATAAAACTCATTTTTCCATGTAGTTCCTTTATTATAGCTCCTTCTCCGTGTATGGATCTAGAAGTCATTTATTTATATGATCTGTCTGTCTCCTTTATGCCTGGTCCCACCTCAGACCACAAGTAAAATGCTGACCCTCACTCCCAGCCAGGTCTCACTCACATTGGATGTTAAAAATACCAAGACAAGCCAGGGATGTAGCTCAGTGGTGCTGCCTCCTGCCTCGCAAGCACAGGACCCAAGTTCGATCCCTGGTAACAAATAAAAAGAATCTGGATGAGAGTGCCATAGACCTGCATCTGGAGCACCTCATTAATGAGACATTTTTATTTATTTGGTTCACCCACTGAAGATCCTAAATCCACGGGTCTGCTCCCAAGCAGCAGCTGTCACTTGGCTGCCTGGCACCCTCTTCCTTACCTTCCTCCCTTCACCTCTTCAACCTTAAATCCCTCCTCCTTAGGCCAGGGTCTGTCTTCCTTCTGTTTTCCTGGCTGACTAGTTTTGACTCAGATGGGCTGCTCCTGCCTGTTGCCCTGACCCCGGCTTGATGGGGTTTGGCTGGAGGCACCATCCCCCCTTCTTGACTCGGCCACGTCCTCTGGGCTGCAACCTCTCCCACCCTCTTTTTTTCAGTGGTGTAAAGGTTGGTTGCCCAAGAAAATTGCTCAGAAAAGAGGGCAAAAAAAAAAAAATAAGGTAATAATTGTATTTATTAAGATGAAAGTTTTAGATTTTGAGGAAACGTATTTAAGTTGCTGTCATATAATAAAAGAGATAACGGTGCATAAGTAGCTACTTCAAGAAGAAATTAGTGGTGTTTTTAAGCCACAAAGTGAGCTAGCCTTGGGTAGGCACAAGTCAAACATTGTACAGAAATGGTTTTCCTACACTTAGACCAGGAAATGCGCCTACAACTACTCCGCTTCTCATCCCCTCCATCTCTGTTGTGGAAATACGTCAGTGCTGTATCCATGTGAAAAGTTATAGCTATTGTTTGTATTTGGGGAAATTTAAAGGCAGGTGATGCTGATGCTAATGTTTAATCCCCAAATACATACATATGACTGAGTAAAACACTTACTTTGATTGCCAGTTGAAAATCTTTCTGACCTTTCAAGTAGAAATATAGTTAATATAAATGGAGATACTTTTGGGGAAAAACAGTCATTTTCATTACAATATACAGTTTTATATATAAAATGTAGGGCATTTTTCTATATTCTGAAGGTTAAATCTTAATGATTAAAATTTACTTAAGTTTGTATGGCTTATAGAAGCCACTTCCAGGTTGAAATGTGTACTGTTTTTTCATAGATGCTCATGAGTGAAACAGTGGGAATTATGGTTCAGTATGTTTGTAGAGTTCTACTACTTAGTATTTGCTTCCAAGCCCTGTCCTTGTAAAACCCCCTCAATGGCCTGGCTCCCCTGTCGCTCGTAAAAATCATACTGTAGGGCCAGGAATTTGGCTTAGTGGTGCCACCACCTGCCTCGCAAGCTCAAGGTCCAGAGTTCAATCCTGGGTACAGAAAAATCATACGGTGTCCTGAGGGCTGTCTACCACTGCCTCCATCCTGTCCAGCACATTCTTCTTTCTTGGATCTCACAATACAGAGGAGCAAAAGGTGGGTCTATAATACCTGTCTGTATGCATTAAATATTTCCTGTATGCAAATATATCTTCCTCTCCCCAGTTTTCTTCTTGAGAACAGTGCTACTCTTATGTTCCCCACAGCACTGTGCCTCATGTGCAGTGGCGGCCAAAAGGTCTGTGTTGAATGAATGATACTTAGATATCAGAAACAGTCAGCACAGAAGCCCAGGTTATCCAGATCTGCTTTTCCCTGTGTGGCCTGAGCCTGTGTGAGGGAGGACTGATAGCTTATTTGATGAAGGGCCTTTTGCCATCACATTTTAGTTAACTGGAGTAGAAGTTTGGGAAGCCTATATATAAATCCCATTTCTGCCATTTCCTGATGTTTTTGGCAGCCTGTATCATAGATGCTAAGGTAATGAGGGTCTCCAGTGGTCTTTAAAGCATGATGGGTGAGGCAACCTCCTAAGATCAAGTGTTGAAACTTGTACATGTCCCTTGGCTTCTCTGCAGAGCTTCCTGTCGTAGCTTGTCTTTCAACCTGTAAATCTCTTTGTATATAGTAAATGTCAAATACACCATAACCATATACAGATTATGCTTGTTTATTATCGGGCCAGAAATGTAAAATGTGCCCACAGTCAGAAACTTGGGGCTTGGTTACGTTGCTCTCACCCACAGGAAGCTCAGGCGCCTGCTCTCAAACTATGCCCTCCACGTGGCCTGCTAAACTGAATGTGTAATTGTTGTGGCTTCTCTCGGGTGATACAGTATTTCTTCATTCTACTCACATGACTAAAAACAATTGGATCTAAAGCCCCGTGGCATCAGAATAGTGGCCAGAAGAAGCGATTGTAGTGAGTCTGATACTGAGCATCCAGGGTCGTAGTGGAGGGGACAGCTGGACAGTTGCATTGGTACATGGGCTTGATACCGAAATGGGTCTCAGGTGTTGTTTTCTTAAGCCCTTTTTACTATTTTTCTTATCCTTGCTCTCTAATGTCTTTTTAAGTTCTTGGTCTGCCACTGACTTGGGCTCCTCACTGACTTTTTCTAATCTAGAAAGGAAGAAAAACTACAAAAAGCAGAGGAAGGTGGAAATTATTTAGAAGCCTGAGGGGTAGAAGGAAGGAGAAATTTCATAGAATTGGATCATAGAAAGGTGTTTTAAATGCTGACTTGAACTTAAGGGACAGCATTTTGTTTTGTTTTTTTCCTTTGCTAACCAGTTAAAAGTACCTGGAGTAGTGTTTCTCTAAGAGCTCCTTAAAACCTTCGTTAGTATGTTTAGCTCTTTTGGAGCTTCAGTCTCTGTCTTTGTGTGTGTGTGTGTGTGTGTGTGTGTGTGTGTGTGTTTGGTGTTTGTTTGTTGGGGGTCCTGGGGATCGAACTCAGGACCTCGCACTTAAGGCAGGCACGCTGCCACTGAGCTAAATCCCTGACCCTCTATCTCTTGTTCTTATGTACTGAAGTAATATTTTGTTTCTGCTAGTGATAACCGTTGTGAGACACTTGATTCTCTTACTGTCGGTTATTTTATTTTCTTACCAACAAAGATAAACTACTAGTATAAATGAAATCTTAGCGTATATATAGAAATGTTTTTAAAACAATGGAATTTATAATTTGAAGAAGTGTTTGAACTTCTCCCTATTTCCTATTTATCTCTTCTGTTTTGTTCTTTGTATTTTTCCTACAAGAGAAAACATGCAATATTTGAGCTTGTGTGTCTTATTTCTTTTAACATTGTGTTCTCAAGTTTCATCATTTATCTATGAATGCCTGAAGATTATCTTTGTTTATGGTAGCATAGTACTCTATTGTGTATAAATACATTTTCCTTATCCATTCATCTCTTGATAGATGCAAACACTGTTTCCAAGATCTCGCCATTATAAGTTGCGCTACAAACGTGATTATACATGTATCCCTGTGATGTGATGATTTTAACTCTTTGGGGAGGATACCTAGAAGGGGAAATAGCTGAGTCAAGTGAAATTTCTAGTTTTAGTTTTTTGAGGCATTTCCACTGATTTCCATAGTGGTTGTACTAGTTTACATTCCTATCAACAATGTAATAGAGTTCCTCTTTCAATTTTGGGGGGTACATCTTAAGACCGCTGGTGATAGCAATTAGAAGCAGCTGAGGAAAGCAGTCTGGAGGTGGCAAAGGGAGGAAGGGAGGCACAGTAAGACAGCCAGGCAGGAGCACAGGGCTATCTACAAGGCAGGAAGAGCCTCCACTAGAGGGGCACTGATTTTGAGTAGTATGTAGGAACTAGGGGCCGCCACAAGGGTGTTAGCTCTACCTGGCTAAATTTGGAGCCCTTCAATTGGATTTGTGGCACTGCCCCTTCCCTGCATGTGTGAGCTATTGCAGCACAGACTTCATATTGGCCAACTCAAAACAGAGACTGGGAGGAGCCCCTTAAACACCTGTCGTTTCCACATGGTGTAAGACCGCTCCTGAAACTGGAGGCTGCAGCCCAGGCCCAGGGCCAGCACATTGATTGTATGTAGCTCAGCAGGCTGTGGAAATACAACTCCCTCCTGTGTAAAGTTTGATCCCAATGAGGTAGGCTGGTTTGTTTCTTAAATGCTAACCTTTCCAGTTTGCTTAACATTTAAGCAAGGTAGGGAGGAAAAACAAGAGCTTTTTTATTAGAAATCATATGGGCACATATATTAAAACAATGTGTTAATTGCTGTTGTCAAACTTCTAATGGAAGTCAAACTTCTTTCGTTGTTGGCAGAATGATCAGGCACATTATCATCTCTTTTCACTGTACTTCTCCCTGTTTTCTGTTTTAGTTGCTGATATGTGTTCAAGATGAGTGGGATGGGAGAGAATACCTCTGACCCGGCCAGGGCAGAGACAAGAAAGCGAAAGGAATGCTCTGACCAGCTTGGACCCAGGTTAGACACTTGCTGAGAAAATCAATATTTTATGTTAAACTTTGTACATGCTTTTTTTGTTATTTTAGCATTGATTTTACTTCTAATTCAAATATTGTATTAGGTTTTTCTCCTTACCACTTAAACTTTTAAAGTGTATTAACTTACCTTTCGAATATGCTAATCAGCTATAGCTTTTTTGTTCTTTACAAAAGAAGGAAAGCAGTATACTTTTTCTGATGTCTCCTTTGTATTTGACTCATAATTAGTTCATTCTAAAAGTCTTGTTTTTCTTTTTTTTCTTTCTTTTTCTGTTACATCACAGAATGTGATCCTGAAGTGAAAAAATTTGTGGTTAGCTTTATTTGGGGTTCTTATTTTTTCTTTTCTTTTTTGGGGGGGCGGTACCAGGGATTGAACTCAGGTCCTTGCACTTGTAAGGCAGGCCACCGAACTGCTGAGCTAAATCCCCGGCCTTTAATTTTTTTTAATAATATGAAATGTTAAATCCATCTTCTTTTGCAAAGATTGTCCCTTTAGTGAATAAAACAAATAATTTTAGAGCAAGCTTCATCTCATCTGTTATGGGTAGAAGCATGTGTTTTAGAACCTCTGTTTAGGGTATTATCTGTATCAAAATTACAGACTCTTTGAACTAGTCATTCTGCTTCTAGAATCTTGCTATGATACACTTTGAAACATGCAAAATGATGTTGAGCTGAGGTTATGTATCACATTATTTATAATTATAAAAGATTAGGAAAAAACTAAATATTTGGATGGAACTTTAACTGTGACACATCTGGAACATGGTGCAGCTATGATAAAGGTTGAGGAAACAATGTGAAAAAATCTAAGAATATTAAAATTTAAGAATATTGTGACATAAAAAGCAAAGCTTATAAAATGTTTCTGGATTATACTGCTACATACTTAGATTTGTATTGTGCAGGGTAACCAAGAAAATGAGGTTATTACCCACTTTGAGAACTAGGCAAGGAGAGAACAAAGAAAGAAAAAAAACCTTTTTTAAGTCTTTTGATGTTTTAAATCAAATAAGTGATTTTAAGAGTTAAAAACAGCAACTTAGCTCCAGGGACCAGTGAAAAAAGGATCAGATAGGGAATAGTAGGGAAGAGGGCTAGAAAAAGTCATGAGACAGAAAGAGGAGGAAAAATGGCAAAAAGCCAACATTTTCTACTCCCTTTCCTCCCTTGAGTTGCCAAGAAAACAAAAGGCCTGTGGTCTTCAAGTGGTTCACACCCCAGCTCCGTGATGCTGCATGCTCCCTCAGGTTTCCCAGTCTTCTGGCTGTCAGACTACCTTTAATACTCAGAACTGCTAACTGGGGAGGCTGTTTGATAAATGCGGACTGTTCCAGGGAGCAGGCTGTTTCTTAGCGCTGTGTGGATGCTCCCGAGGAGCGCTGTCTCTGGGTCCTCTGCCTCCTGCTCTCTCTCGGAGGCCTTCATAATCCAGCTCCCCTTTCTCACCTACTTGTTCATTTGCATGTAGTGTGAGCTGGTGACGGATTGATCAGAGTAGTGGGGGGAGGTTTAAGGGTAAGAATAGGAAGTGGACTCTTAAAAGCCTTGTAGGCACCCCACCCCTCTCTCTTTTACTGTACGTAATAAAGTGGCAGCAAGGGGTAAAAGTGGTATTGAGAGAAACAAATTCTCTTCTCTGCTCTACCAGTAACTCACTGGGTAATCTTGGAAGGCAGCTATGCTCACCACTATACCACCAACGCTCACTGGGTAATCTTGGACCAAATGTGTAACCACTACAAGGTGGAGAAATTGTGCTGTATCTTAGATGTGTTACTTAATAAAAATACTGTTTAGTAATGAAAGTACAGAAGCCTATTACAGATTACCAAATTTTTAAAATTACTATTGTTTTCAACTTGGTTCTCTTATGCTATTTTAAATGTCGTTCTGCAGGCTCTCCACTGTACTTGAGAAAATAGTTGTGAAGTGTTATCAGAAGAAGCTTGAATTTGCAGTTTTATCAAATTCAAATAAGATGATTTTGCCAATTTGGTATTTTCCCCTTCCATTAACTTTTTAAACCTTTCATTGAACTTGGGCCACGTATTTATATTTTGCATGTCATTCAGCGTGGACAGTTAACAAATATCCTGAGTCGGTTTCACTTTTGGTTCTAGCTATATTGTGACTTTTCTCATTATCAAAAAAGGCTGTGTAGGACCGGATGGGGGATTTAGCTCAGTGGTTTCGCCACTTGCCTCGCAAGTTCAGGGGCCCGAGTTCGATCCCCTGTACCAAAAAATAAGTGAATTTTTTTAAAAGGCTGCATGGTTTGATTACTAACATTCTCAATGAAATTAGAAGAATGTTTTCATTATTTCTTTTACTAAAAACATAAAACCAAAATTCATTGAAATTTACTTATAAATAAGTTAACTTCCCTTCCTTTCTTCTTTTACTAATCTTAAATAAATGTTACCTCTCTTTTCTTTTTATTTGACAATAAATTTGATCCCACCTGTGTGAAACACTAACTAGTTCAGAGGTCACCCAAACCCTTGTCATGTTAAAGCTGATAGCCCAGTGGGAGACAGCAGGCACATTAAACAATTTAATTGTTCAAGTAGTGAATGCATAATCATAAACTGGTATAAGGTTGATTTAGTAAAAAAAATAACATTTTAGAATAAATTGGTCCACTACCCAGAGTACTTTTGTATTTTTGTAGGTAACTTTTATTATGTTTGTATTACAACTAGTTTGATATATTTATCTTTCTCGTAATAGCTCTTTTTCAAATACATAAGAAAAACATTTCTTGTTTTTAGCCCCAAAAGGAGCACTGAGAAACGTAATCGTGAGCAGGAAAATAAATATATAGAAGAACTTGCTGAGCTGATTTTTGCAAATTTTAATGATATAGACAACTTTAACTTCAAACCTGACAAATGTGCAATCTTAAAAGAAACTGTGAAGCAAATTCGTCAGATCAAAGAACAAGGTAAGAAGACTGAATTAATATCTTGGAGAGTTGAGTTGGTTTCTGTTTTTCCATGTATGAGAAGTCCCCTCGGAGCCCCTTTAATCCATTTCTTATGCTTAAATTATTGATGAGGAAATGATGTCACAGTGCAAGATGAATTCAAGGATCACTTGCAGTGGTTTATAAATAGGCCTTATATAAAATTCAACCATTCCCTAAAGACAGAGGAGACTGAGGTGAGTCAGGGTGATGTAGCTTTTCATCTAGTAAACCCAATTAGGTGTCCACTGGCTCTCCTTTCTACACTTGCAGTTTTCATAGATTGCACAGCAAGCGACCGTCATAAATTGTGAATAAGGAGCCAGTTTGAGATGTAAACCAGAGGTAAGGAAGAGAACACCTCGTGTTTCAGCTAGTCAGCATATTTGATTAAGTTTGAGCCTCAACTGGCCATGCTCTTGGATTAGAATTCTGTATCCTGAGTGACAAGAGATTTGAAAGGCTTTAATCTCTAGTAAGAATTCCTTTGTGAAGTCCAAACAGAGTGTGACAGCTTTCTTCCTGTGGTTTTCTTTTTTTCTGAGATCATTTTATGGTTTTTTTCTTTGATATTTTTGACTACAGAAAAAAAAATTTTAATGTTTTGAATGCATATTTGACTTTGTAGTGCCAAAAATAAATCTTTATTAGACATATACGAACACTGCCTCTGTGCTCAGGGCTAATATATGCTTTGAAGTATCCATGTGTTATTTTCCTTCAGGGCTGGGAGATTATTATCTCTTGTAATGTTTTTGAATGCATCCTCTTAGAGTTCATATTTTTAAGTCTACATTTTATATACTCTAAAAAGATAGATTTTAGGAAAAGATTGTCTTCGTAAGTATGTGAACCTCAAACTTTGTTCCTAGCAAACATAAACTCTTATCTACCTGTTAGCATATTTCTGTCATATCCTTTTCCACTATTGAACTCAGTTCTATGTAGAAGAGTTTTAGAAGACTGGGTGTGGCCTTATACACCTATGATCTGGGCTACGTGGGAAGCTCAGTCAGGACACCTTGACCAATTTATAGAGACCCTAACTGAAAATCAAAACTAAAAATTGCTGGGGTTATAGCTCAGTGCAAGAATTAGGTTTATGCCTGGCTTGGTGGTGCAGGCCTATAATCCCATCACCATGAGTTCAAGGCCAGCCTAAGGAACAGTGACAAAAATAAGACCCTGTCTCAAAAACAAAAAAAGAGAATTGCATTTAATCCCCACTATTGCAAAATAAATACAAGTAAAGTAGTTTTATAACTGTAGTTCTGTCTTTGAAGAATTTATGAATATACAACACAGTTTCTAATCCCAGCCCACTCTGAAAACCAGTCTTTGTTTTCCAGTCAGAATTATCCCACTCAGCCTATCTCAGTCTCCATCTCTATTCTCTTTCTTTTCCTTTCAGTGTTCATTGGTTACCAAAACTGTTGTAATCTCGGTTTAGTACCTTTTTTCTTTTTCGTGTTAGCAAGTATATAAAATAATATTCTTAGAATTCTTGAGAGCAATGATTGGTTGAAGTTATTGAGTCCTGTCAAGTTTCGTATTTCTAGTTGCTGATATCATTGCAGTAGAGAAATCATTAATCATTAGGTTTCAGGGTTCTAAGATTTTGAATTACTCAGTTTTGTGAACATTGCATGTGAGGTAGTACTTTTATGTTTTAAAACAGTTGTATGTATTTTTAACCACTATGAAAGTCTTGCACAAGTAATTAAAGTTTTGCAAAACCTTAGTAATTCCCCCTTGAAACCATAAAACACGTTAAGATGTGTCATGCTGGGCCCATGCCATGTCTTAACTCTGGTGTTAATCGTAAGGCCGCATACCACAACCACCCAAGAAGCAGCAATAATAAACACCCTGTCACATCGTATTCTTACAGTAATGCTCCCACTAATTTGAAAAGCAGCATGTTTTGAAAAGGGAAGAAAAGTTTAATACGAAATGAAAAGCACAAATATGCTTTTAAGTTTTCAACTAATCTAATATTTTGAGAACATTCCTTGCTTAATACATTGTTTATTTGTTTTTTTTATAAAATTGCAGCAAATAGAAGCAAGGTATGTGTTCTGGTACCTCTTGGGAGCTTTTTGATTCTAAGAAAATTATTTTATCTCTGAAATGCCTCCTCATACAGAATTGAGCAGTAACCACACCTGGGTTACATGGCCGCTAAAGACGTTATAAGCAGTGTTAACTCATTCAACAAGGACCTGTCACTGTGAATATTCAGTAGATGATTCTTTCCTTTCCCACATTAAGCAGAGTGGTGCCTTTTTTGTTTACCTGTGCCAAAATCTTCAGACAGTGACCTTCCTTCAGATGGGAAACGTAAGAAGGTTTAAGGATAGTTACTAATATTCTTTCTCCAAGGTCATTTGAAGAAAGTAATTTTCTAGGGCCGGAGAACTTTTGCAACCCATGCAGTCCCCTCCACTGGTGGCTCTGTTTGGGCCAGTTTGATTTCTTTCCACAGCTGAGAGACAGCCAAGGTTGAAGTGCAATGTGTAAGTCAGCCCCAAACCTTTCCCTCTCACTCTGTGTCTCCCTTGCCTCCCACACAACTGTTCCCCCTACCAGTCACCATAAATAAAACCCAACTACCATCTTTACACCATTACTCAAACTTAATTTGTATGTCAGTCACACTTGTCAGCCTGAATAAAATCAATTTGGGAGTTCAAGAGGACATGCCTGTTATATACTAAGCCTATGTATTTGACCCATAAATGTTAAACTGGGTTACGTGAGATGCCATGCCAAAGAATACTACTGAGCAAAGAAACAGGGCTCATCTTCCTGGAACCCCCTCCTTTTTCATAAGCTGCATGCACCAGCCAACATGTGAACTCTTTCCCTGAACTCCCAGTACCTCATAAGCTGCTCCTCAATTCTGTACACTTATACTGTACATGAAAGAGAGTAGAGAGGCTATTTCAGGATAGCCTAAAGGACAAGAATTTGAAGGAGAAGTTACCACGGGCTGTTTAAATTAATAAGCATTCTCTGTGCCTAGCACCTTATGAGACACACAGGTAGTAGATGCTGGCCCTCCAACAGCATGCATGCAGACATTGTAGAAACAGAGCAAGTAAACACAAGAGTTTGATGCTACAAGTGGGATCACCATTAAATATGAAATTCCATTCATGTTAGTGGTTTTCCTTTGGCCCACATTCATAAGTCCTTAGTTATGAATTAAGTTACTAACTTAGTAATTAAGTTGGACCTTCTGTTGTGACTAAATTCTCTGCAAATTTTGAATTCCAGCTAAGTTTTAAGTAGTTCTTACTATATGCTAGGCATTTTAAAAATTTCTTAGATTTGGTAATTATTTTAATACTTAAAATATGCCATTGGGGCTAGGATGTAGCTCAGTGGTACGGCACTTGCTTATCATGTTCACAAGCTTGGGTTTAATCCTCAGCACTGCTCGAAAAAAAGAAAGAGAAATTAAACATTACCGAGGAATTAAGTATATTGTTTTCCCCTTTAATAGTTGGGGACCTGATACGTGGATACTTAACTAGCTTGGCCAGAGTCCCATGCACTAAGTGATAGAAGAGCGTGGAATCCAGGCAGGCAGTCTGGCTTGAGACTGCATCTAAATCAACAATGCAGATTTTCAATACTTAATTATAATGCTTCTTTTGATCTGGTGTGGTGATGCTAAATGTTTAAAGCTTGTGTTCTATAACTTAAAAAGTGTAGTTTTTAATAAATGTCCTTTTTTGCCAACTCAGGCTAATATTGCTTTTGCTTCACAGAAGAATTATAAATAATATGAAAGATATACTACTGTATTAATGATATCGTTTCAGTCTTCTTAGATGGAAACTTATACATTTCTATAGAAAGGATATGGTGATTCCTGTTCCCTTATAAAAGATGAAATTAAAATATAAAGTACTTTTAAAAATGGCTTTTTGTTTGTTTGTTTTGGTTTGGTTTGGGGGCATGGTGTTGATTTTTGAGACAGAGACTCACCATATATATATAGTTTAGGCTGGCCTTGAACTCATTATTTAGCCCAGACAGGACTTGAACTCGTGACTCCTCTTGCCTCCAACTCCTGAGTGCTGGAGTTACAGGCATGCACCACCATACCCAGCTAAGGGCTGTTTTAAATATTGATTCATTTTCACTATCCTTGTAAGGAACCTCCTCTATTAACCCAAAGTTGCCACACTTTATTTTTTCCTTAAGGTAATTACAGTAAAATTAATATCATTATTTGAAAACCATTTGTTACTTCATTTAAATTCACTTTGGTGTAGTGTATTTGAATATAGGATTTGTTTTACTAGTTAATACTGAATTTGTCTCAAACTTCTGTTATTTTTCTAAAGAGGTTTTATTAATGAGTATCAATAGGAATAAAAACTATTGCAAAAACCTGGTTTAGTATAAACTATGTTGGGGATGGGGTGGCATCCTGATTGGATCAAGCAACCTAAAAGACATTCCAGTTTCTCATTAGAATTACTTATTTTGGTATTTGGTACTTTACATGAGAATGTTAGGGTCCCAGATAGCTTCATACATGTGAATTTCCCCAAAGACTGGGGATACATCATGAAAATATAAAGAAGTATTGGGGTGGAAGGCAGTGTGCAGGAGTCAATAATGGCAGCCAGTTATTAAATTTTCAAGAATTTTTCATTATATGAACTCAAACTATACAGAAACCAAAGCTAAAGAAAACTAAAATTTTTTTCTAAGCCGTTCATGTCTTCTGCCTACTTTGAAATACCATATAGTAGTGTGCATGTGTATATCTTCCTTCTTAAATCTGAGTTAGTAATATTACATTGTTAGATTGAATTCCATCATATTGAGACTATTTCCACCATGGAAAGTGTAAACGCTACAACTCAGGGCTTGATTTATTGTTTTGTTGGCTGTCACTGTAGATTTAAGAAAAGAGAAAGCATTAATAGATAATTTCTAACATTTTAACTTTAACTGTG